AAGAATTGGCAAAACTAATTTTGTGATGCAGTATCATTTAATAATTCAAAAGATTCAGTCAAATTAGTTGCATTTCTATAAGCATTAAAAAGATTCATCCAAGTTTTTGTACTATTATATGATTAGTAATATAAGATTAAGCTTGAATATTTTATAAACTTTATCAGTAGAAATAACAAATCATTAATATATTATTAATAATTAGTTCTTTTTAGTAGAATTATTTGATTCAACTAATAATGTTTTCTTGAAAATATTAATAAAATTATTAATTATTTTATTTATTTATATTTTTAAAAAAATATAAAGATAATACTATCTTTATCTTTTAAATCTTTAGATATTTATTTAAAATATAAGTAAAAAAAAAAATTTTTTGACAAAAAGAAAAGAAAAGAATAATTATTATATATGTGATTAAAAGTATAAAAAATTATAAATAATAATTGAACAAATGATAATTAGTAATAGTAATAATTATCACAAATCACATGCTTTTAAGTATAACTTAATAATCAGAATATCATGATTTTTTTCTTATCCTTTAGATTGTAAAGGTTTGCAGACAAATTTGCCTATTTATTTACTATAAATTTCTTTCTGATTTATTTTTATAAAAAATTAAAATTTTTTAAAATTTTTTTTTTAAATTAATTTTATAAATATGTATTATATTAAAATAATTTTTATTTTTAATTATATAATAAATAATTTATAGTTATTTATAAGCTAAAAATTTTTAATTTTAAAAAAATTATAAATTAAAAATTTTATTATTAACCTTTGATAATCTTATTAATATTTACTTTTAGTAATATTAATCATAATAAAATATTATAAAATTTATCATGAAGAATAACTTTAATTATTATACTTTTTATAATTTAATTTTTAAATTTAAGTTTTAAAAAATTTATTATAATAATTTTTTAAAAAATTCTTTAAAATTTATATGTTTGCAAACTAATTGAATATTTTACTACTAATAAAAATCATAAAATTTCTTAATAAATTATTTAAAAAATATCTTATAAACTTAAAATTTCTTCTAATAAAATTAATAAAATATATATTAAAACTATATTTTCATATAATTATTATATTACTAAAATTAATATTTAATATTTTATTAAAAAAATAACATATTTTTTTAAATTTGCAGACAAATTTACCTGCTAGATAATCTAAGGATAAGAAAAATTAGCAATATTCCTAACTTCTTATAAATTTACTTATATTAAAATTCCACTCCTATGTGACTGGTAACATAAAAGGAGGCATGAAAAAAATATTTTTTATTACTTAAAAAATTCTAAGTTTCTGAAATACTTATGAAAAATGGAAATGCAAAAAGTTTGATACTAGTGACTAATTTGAGAGGTGAAAAAATTGTTAGTAATACTAAGAAAGATGGTTGTATATATCCGGATTATGTGACAAATATATTTGTCAGCAGTATCACACCCTTCTGTCTTTAGTTTTTACTTTTTGTTTTAGGAACACAGAATTTTTCGGTGAAAAATTATTATTCGTCACATATATCCGTCACATAGTTTCTTAATTTCTTAATGCCGGTCATATCACGTGATGTGTATACATACACCCGTGTACAAATAGAAATTGCCAATTTTTAATTTAATTTAAAACATTTTTGATAATTTAAAGTTTTTTAATGCTGTTAGTAATTAATTAAATTAAACATAATTATTTAAAAAAATAATATTAATAAAATAAATGATTATTTTATAATAGGTAACATTTCATTATTTTAAGAGAGAATTGAGAAATTTTTTATTTTTATTTTTTTTATGGAAACGCCTGGCCTTTGACTTCTTATATGTCACCTGATACGTATCATCTGGTTCATTAGATAGACCCTTATGCGGTTTTATTACTTAATAAGATCTCGTAAAAGAAAAGTTTTACTCTAAATTTAGAAAGAATAACATAATCAAATAAAAGACATTATTATAGGGATCCGATATTTATTACTGAATAATAGAGGATATTTGTTTTACATCAGTATCAATCATATCTAAGAGCAATTCTGACCGGGTTTTAAGATCTTTTTCCATTTTTTTTTTCTTTATCCATTTTTTCAATTCCTTAACTCTTGTAATAATTAAATCATCAGTAATCACATCTACTTCTTCTTCTTCCAATCCATGATAAACTATCTTTCCTTGAATTAATGTCTTTGTACTTATATAACTTTGCAAGATTGAATTTAAGAAAAACATGTGCCGCCATATTGCGTCTGGTTCAGTCAAGCAATACGGCATGCTATAAAAATATAGTTTTGCTATTTTTTCTAAGCTTAATGGTGAACTAATTAGTTTTTTCATACCGGGTTTTCTCTTTAATTCATTAAAATCACTATCGAGAAGCGCTATGTTGAGAAGTTGACATCTAAATGTATTGGAAAATAAAGTCTAATTTTTTTTTTCAAAGGAAAAAAAAAGAGTAATTAATTAGTATATGAAAGTGATATCGATCATATTAATTAAACATACTTGTAAAAATAGAGTCATCATGGATGAATCAAGTTTATTAATTTGTAAATAAACTTCATTTGTCAATGAATCATTACAAATATAACCTGCATATGAAAGAATAATAATCTGTAATAAAAAGAATTATTCATTAATAGCAATTCAGCAAAAAGTCATACATGATTTTATTATTCTTATTCCCCTTCTGTCACCTGATCAAATAATCTTTGTGAGAGGCGAACCGTCTCCATTGATATTTCTTCAGAATAAAATGGAGTTAGTAAAGAATCGATAATAACTTTAGGGTTACCACGTAGTTTACCAACACTTTTTGGAATTAATCGTAAAAGTATAGAAGAGGAAAAGTTTTCTAACAAATGAAATGGAATGGTTATTCAAATGTCCATTTAAATATGACATGGCATGGACATATTTTCTTCATACCTTGTTTAATTTGCATGTCAATCTCAAATATATTTACGACTTGTTCAAGAAATAATAACATTCGCTCAGACTTAATAAATTTTGAATTGGATCGAATAGATTTTTTTTTTTAAAGACAAAAAAATTGAAAGGTCGACTTTATAAATGAAAACAACAAAATTTTTTACCTGATCATCTTTAGTATTCATTGCTGAATTAAATCTAGATTTAATAAACATCCAAAAATTATCATAACCTATCGGCCAAATATCATCTAAATTATTTTCTTCGAAACTCCACATATCTTCAAATGCAATTGATCCAGTTGCATGTAGAGTATGTTGTAAGACTTTATAAGATTTAGAACAAATGTTTTTATCAAGAGTTAAATCAGCAATAAAATCCATCATTTTCCTTATATGATCTCTTTATGAAAAGAAATTTAATGTTATTATTGTACAAATATTAAATGCTTATAAAGAATAAACATACTTTGGAGGATAATAATTTTCATTTTGAAACGACTCCAAAAGGTCAAGTGCTGCATTATCTATTTAATTAAAAAAAAAAGTATTTTATTGACCATAAAAAAACTCAGTTGATATAAGTAAAAAAAAAAACGATAATTACTATGATTTTCGTCAAGACAGATGTCAATAAATGAAATATAAGTATTAGGCATTGCTTTTGGGCTTTTTAATTTTTCTGCAGAAAAACCTTTTATTCGTTTATTCAACCTTTTATACGATTCGACCAATTCAGGGTATGATTTTAACATTTCTTCTACTTCTTTCCACACACCTTCTGCTCCTTCAGACTCACAAAATAAAAACGAAACACCATCCTAGAAAAAAAGAGCAAAAATCGTATTGAAATGTCTACATTGGACTGATTTTTATTCAATTCAAATACCTCTGTGATTTCTCTACTGGAAATATATGACATTATCTTTTTATTATTGTAAGACGCGTATTTTTATTACAACTTTAAAATACTAAAATACAGAAAAGAAGTAAAATGAGTGACAAGACGTAGGGATCGAATATTATATATTTTGAAGCAACCAAATATTTTTACTACACGACTCCACGTGATTTTTGTAGCCTGATTTTATTTGCCGGCCGGCATTACGGCATTAAGAAATTAATCGCTTTAGACATTCCCTTAAAAAAGGTAATATACACTAAACTACAATAAATTACCGGATTTTATAAATTTTACTTAGTAATATATAGTAAAATTAAAGATTTTTA